ACTACAATCAAGGATAGCATACATTATTTATTGTACCAACATGCATTTGGGGTTTGATGCTCTAGTAGATCGCCACAAAAGGCTGTAGCTATAACCGGTATGTCCCGAAGGACGATGTCTGCTCTCATTGGGCAGGTGAAGTTTTAAAATATAGGAAGCTGCCTTTATATCGCATGGCAGAATTTTAGGAGTATCTAGCTGTTGTGAAGTTCCGCCTGGTAGTTTGTAGGTGTCTGTACTCGACTAAGATGCAGTGCATCTCACTCCGAGCATTTGAGCTCTCAACGAAACCAAGGACGGATGTTGATACAAACAAGGTGGACACTGAAATTGACCGGTTTCTCTTGATGAGAAGAGAGGGTTCCCTTAACACATCACAGACGTCATCGATCGTTTTAGAAAGATCGGTTTAGAAACGATCGGAAACTTTAGAAACTATTTATACACAAAATTGACATAGGGCATCAACGAAAGGAGCGTGAATGCGCTGGTTCGAGAGTTCCAGGGCAAAATACTGTTCTCACCCTGCGCAGACAACGTCTTTATTTCAACCACTACTTGATGCGTTATCGTGACAAAAGGTGAGCGAAAAATCATCTTTGTATTTAAAACTGACAATAGTTCATTTTCAATGTGCTATGTGATGTAATAGCAAAATGAAAATACTAAAAAACACGACCATAACCTAACGGTGTTTTTTTTTTGTTATTGTTGACCGCGAGTTCAGCTCTTGGAAAATATCATCGTCAATACGACGAAACCCCCTCGGATAACTTAGCCAGAACGGCTAGACCTCCCTAAGGCTGGCATGAATAACGAATCGAAAGGAAGTGGCCTGTTCGGCATAAACGGCCAATTGATATAGGCCTGCATATGTGTGGACATGCGATTCAAAATACATCGACATTGTCACTCATTTTTTCACCTAGTATATAAGTATATATAAGTATAATATTGCATTGACGATATTTTTGCTTGGTATGAAAAGAACAACATTTGTTGGCCAAAGGGAAATGATACTAACAGCTAGATAGCGTTCAATATAACAGATATTTTAATCTGCCACAAACGCAAGCAACGTCTTGTATTTTTAAACAATGAAAACTGTGAAAATACTTAGTTTGTTTATCTTAAATAGTAACATTTCAAGATTTCTATATATCGATGTATACAAACGTGTGTCACAAACACCGAACTAATCAATTTCGTAGTTTTTAACAGCATCAGCAGCAGGAGCACCACCCCGAAAACAAAAACCGAGAAAAAAACAGATGATTTTATCCCGTTTATCTGACCATACGCTATTCGCTCATCGTCAGGTCAACCGGTCGGGTACGTGTGTGGGCATTGAGTAAAACGTACCAAGGCGTTTTTCCTAAGAACGATTGCCGATTTCATGTCAAAATTGTTGCTAGTAGAAACGCAGGTAGTCGGTAACAGCTACTGTCCATTAGCATCACATAGATTCCGACGACTCGGTAATTACTAATGCCGCAAGCGCTAACTATCTTGCTTCCCCCCTTAACTCTTCATGAGACCTTGTCTAAAATGGAGCTTATATGATGGGATCTGATTGCTCCCTTATGGGCTCTTGTGGCCGGAACTTTTCAAATATGAATGCATACCTAATATACACTGTACGATGTTCATCAAGTTAGAAAATATATTATTATTATTATTATGGGATTGACCAAATATATAATACTATTAACAGGAACCGCTTTCATATTTTAGTCATTGTCATCAGCTACTCAGCAATATCTAGTTAGATAATAACACGATAATTAGCCATTGTAGCCTACTATGGCCTGCCGACGAAAACTTTACATTGACCCGCAATATCCGTACTATGCGTATCTATTTATATGAGCATTTTTTAAAATCTCTCGCATATCTACACTTTGCCAAGAATTATCTCCAGGGAATTGTAAAACCATTCCAATTAGAAGTATTTTCGATTGATGTGTTCAAAATGTGAGCTGAGATCCCGTTAAAATGGGCTAATACGAAGCGTGTATGAAGGAGAAACGGGGTGCCGCAAAAACAAGACCTGTGTTCTTGTTAATGGTCAAAATTTCAGGTCTGCATTACTTCAGCTGCGTGATTTTCCTCATATTTGTATCACACTTACGTGTTCATAGACTGTGATAGGGGTGAGGGTACGTTTAATTTTGAATGTTCAGTCTAGCGGAGAGACAGCCCAAATAGTTCAGATTCGATATGGGAAACATTGAGTTGTCGCTGTCGTAATGTGCCTCAGTAAGTCGCAAAAGCTTTGCTTCTTCTTGGCAGAACAAATAAAACCATTATCTAATAAAAGCCCTCGTAAGCGGCATAGCGTTGCATCCTTGTCTGGCCTGACACGATTATTTCGATCAATAATAACCGGCCTCTGACGTTCCGTCTGGGATATGTAAAGACCATCCGTGCAGCATGTCCTGATAGCATGGTATTTGTATTAGTTTCTTATGGGAATTGTTTCAAGCAGTAAAGGAGTTGCGTAATCCTTACACGAACATATTGGCGTATAACTAACCCTATCAAGAAAACGGATCACGTCACGATTAGCTTGATCCAATGTTGAGATGTTCTATTACCTATGGTTACATGTACCCTGTCTAGATGACACAGATTTCATAGTAACAAGCACTAGCACTAGCAGATGAAATGTACAATTGGACATGATCTTTATCTATATATAATTACGAATGAACGAGAGAAATTTATTTCTTGCTTCAAAATAAAAAAAAATATCACTATGTCAAATAATGACACATTTATTTGATTTAATCCAACGGACATAGTATAATCTACGTACGGCAGCGGTTCTATGCGTATCTTTTGTGGATTTCTATCCTACGAACGTCTTTCGTCATGAAAGCATAGCTCCTCATACTGGATGTTTTTTTACGCAAGGAGACCATATATATGGTAAGTAGAATAATTTCGACATGCTAAAACCTTCTATGATATATATATATATTACAAGGAACTTTGATAAAAAAGATTATTATATTCAGTGAAGAAATGGAATACGATGCTGTGCGTGTCGATACTTTATCTTCATGAAAGAAGCTCAATAACTAGAAATGGGATCAGGTTTGAAAAATGAAGTGCGCGGTGCTTTCTGAAGTAGCATACGACTTCTGATCTGAGTTAATCGCATCGTTTGAACACTTACAGTCAACTGGACCTCCTGTTAACAATGTATTGTTAATTTCTTAATCTATCAAAAATGTAAAGAAGTTCATTACCAACCGTATCGCAGATCGTTACTTTCTTTCCAATGAACAGCATCAGCTTTTCGCGCCCCAATATAATTCAGTTTTCTAAAGCCTCGCATAGATTGCCACTTATTGGTTCCTATTAAATCGTTTCGTCATAGCATTTTTCTGTTGTACCCCGTCAGTACGTTGCTGTAGAATCTGCGTCAAACTCTAATGGGTAGTGGTACCCATTTTTATTTTCTCTTTACATAATTAATGTAGGTTTTCGATTAATCTTCATTGTCTATTTTTCGCATGGTCCCCTAGCCGAGCGCTGGATAACACTTTTTTTTTTATTTTTTTTTTATGCTAACAGTTTTTTCGTATGTCATAAGGCACTGCAACGTTCATAAATCAACATATAGTTGCTTCAATACTAAACATATACGCTTACATTTATAAGTAAAATCTAGGAAAAATACGTGCATAGTGTGATTATGGTGTACGTTGTTACGTGCAGATACCTTGTCGAAATTTTGATGATAGTCATTTTTATATAGAAATAATAGTTATTAATATTGTTGTTCGATACTTCGTCGTTCTTGTAAGTGAAACTGTGTTTTTATATATTTAGGCGTAACCTACTGTATATA